GGAAGGTTTTTCTTTTTTGTAATTACTATAGGGGGGGGGGGATGTATGCATTTTTTGCATCACATGCGCTTTTTTCATAATTCTATTCGTAAATATTTGACAAATTTTCATTTTTTTACTTTCTATAATATTATTGAGTCATTACTACATGTAATATACTATCTTTTTTATATCGCTTCTCTATCTCTGGCATTTCTCAGCACTTCCTATGTTCCGCCAACACGTTCACCTGTCTACCGCCACCTGCCTTCTTAACCAACTACATACGGCGTACACGCGTCACAGCCGTGTATGCTCTGCTGTTAAGTATAATATTCTAAGGGACTTTAGTTCGCCTATATAGCATACGTAGTGGGGCCATGATCTTTCACCATACTACATGCTTATTCTTGGCAATACGACCACGACCGCCCGCGGTTGTGCAGTCAACGTTACGCTGTCGTTGACTACAGTCGTGAATCGAGTTGACTTGGCAGTTTCGATAAGCGGCGTTTGAATATCGTAGAAGACGCCGAAGAAAGAGATCCATCCGCCCGTTCGCGATACAGACTAAGTTCGACGAACTCTAAACGGGAGGAGCATCGGCGACGCGCGATATCATTCCCCCGTAAATGCCTCGGGATACTCTCGGAAATGTTTGCAATGTTCGCGAGCATTTCGTAAAAATACACAGCTCTCAATACAATAGTCACGTGATATTGAACCTGCCGCTTCTACTATCCGAAAGAGCGAATATATTTTACGATTACATCATTTTAAATATTTTACATCTGAGAGATATTAGTGCAAAAAGAGTTTCAAAGATATAAGTTGGAGAGATAAGATTAGAATAAAAACAAGTTTTTAATTTAGAAAACGACAAATATAAGATAAACGTTGTTTTTAATCAAACGTAATCGAAACGAGAACACAAGTCCGTGGTATTTATATCGACAACTAAAACTTCGCGAAAGATCTATGATAACGCTTGCCGATTTGCGATATAATAATTGCGATTTGTTGACATTGGACATTATTAAAAAGGATCGTTCCTCATTCAGCATGCCTGCTTTTGGTTTCTTGATGCAGACAACCGAATGTATCAACGTCGACTTATGATGTCAACCGGATATCTCAAACGGTAAGCTCTCGCTATCAATGTAATTACTTGACAATTTTATGTGTAGAAAGCATATAAAATTATATATCAATTAACGATGGTATTTGTAAACAAAATTATTTATTCTCTCTCTCTCTATCTCTCTCTTTCTCTCTTTCTCTCTATAAAGTTGATTTTATTTTTTATTTTCCCTTATCTGTGTGTCGGCTATACAGTAACGTGTATAGAGAAATAATGTCCCATGCGTTAATACTTAATATATATATATATATTATATAGGATTACAGCTCATAATAATTTATTTAAAAAATTAGTTTGGCGATGTTGAGTAAAAAAAAAATTAAATATTGATTAATTGAAAGAAAAATTAATCGGTTGAAAATATCAATCAATCAAAAAAGCTATCGGTTATTTCGAAAAACATTGTCTCTGCCTAGAACGGGTATCATTCATGCATCCGACAGTACATATATATATGCATGTGGCGTATTATAATAAGAGCGGAAGAATGATCATTCCATACCGATCAAATTGGGCGGCAATATGCCGTGGTTCAACGCAGCTGCTGCTGTCTGGCTCGGTGCATTTTAGAACAGGGTTAACAGCTGACAGCTGCGTTTTCGGCATAGCAGTTTTAATTTTTTTTTTAGCTTTACAAGTGCTTGGTTAATAATTAACAAGTGCCTGGTTAATAATTAACGATCTTAAATGAAATCGGGAAATAAGAAAAAAAAATAATAAAGTTTATACAATACGCTTCTTGTGCAAGAATATCATTTATCTTAAAATCACTGATATTGCGTTGATACGATATTTTTTTACATTCAATACTATTTTCTTTCATCTTATATATTCTCAATTAATTTTAACATAGAAAAAATAAACTGGAAAAAAATTAATTCAATTCAAAATCTAAGATAAATGGATAATATATCAAATCTTTCTCTCTCTCTCTCTCTCTTTTTCGACATTACCGTGAGGAATCCACCACTAGTATTCACTGTCTAGTATTCAAAGTGCTGCGAAACTCTCCTTTCACTTAGTCACTTTGCGACACCAGTCTTTCATTGCGCTTCCACACTAACTATACTTACGTCGATTACACAAGCATAAGTAATCGTAAGTGACCGCAGAAGTCCAAATGCAAATACAAAACGAAACATTAGTTTATAAATACTTTGCTTTACTTGAAAGAAAATATAATTATTTTAAATCTATTGCAAGTTATATATATTTCTAATGAAAAGCTTAGAGATGATAAAAGAAAATTATCTTCTCTTCTTTAAATAAATTGATTATATGTATTATTGTTTTGTATTTAAGTGATAGTCAATTAATCCAAAAAATCAGACTTGTCTGAATATAATATACACATTGAAATAAGAACAAGATCTGTCATTACGTTAATAAGATATATATTATGAATTTGCACGTAATATATGAAGAATAAAATAATATAGAATAAACAATTGATAAAAATAATATCGCTTTATGTTTTTCTAAGCTATTATATCTAGAAGTACATATATCGAATGACCATTACAAACGTGCCAGAAGAGCAGATGTAGAGCAGGGCAGGAAATTCAGAGTTTTATATGTATAATATATACATGTACAAGAGGCAGCTGATACGAACCAAATGCAGACAGATTTCGCCTTGGAAAGAAGCAAGAATGTTTTTTTTTTTTTTTTTTTGCGATGATGGTAGTAGTAGTTGATTTCTTAAAGAGATAATACATAATTAAAATTTGGAAATTATTAGATATGAGTCATATATCAAAATCATCAAACACACGCACACATAAAAATTTTGTAGATTATTGTTTTCTTCTCTAACAAAAGTATTTGCTGAAAATCTGAGCATATTTCTCTGATGGATTTAAAAATTATTTTACTTTTATATTTGCATTGATTCTTACAGAAAATCGTACATTGGAGTAGTTATTAACAAATTTGATGAAGAAGAAATATAAAAAGAAATCAAATTTTTCACATATATTGACGAAATTCTAATTATGCAAAATTTACTATGATTAAGTACTATAAAAATTTGTAAAGGAATCAGTATGCCAAGACAGAAATTAGATAGCGCACAGCCGTGAGGCAGAAGGCACAAAAGAAAGGTTGCCGATTAACGAGAGAAAAAGAGATAGATAGATAAATGGAAAGAGAAAAGGTGAAGAAGAGAGGGAGGAGAGGGAAAAAGAGAGGGAGTACGAAAGAGGGTGGGAATGAGAGAGAGAGAGACAGCGAAAAGTTTGCAGCTGCTGTATGTGACAGCTGCATACTTCCCAATATTATTCTCCGAACAGTGTTCCGTCCTATCCTTCCTCCGCATATACGCTCGATCCCTCCCATCATCTTGCCAGGTGCTCCTTGTATCGCCAGCACGCTTCGAAAAACCCTCCTTTGTCCCCTCAACAGCGCTCCGTCTGTAATGTAGAACGTGTGTGGACTCGACGAAAATCCCTACTTCTTGAAAAGAAAATTTATCCGATCGCGTGGAGAATCTCGGAGATTGCTCGCGCATATGGCAACTTCATATGCCACCTTTAGCTTCGCGATTGAGGGCAGATGCATGCGACGTAAAGTACAGACGCATCGATGAATGATCGATTGAATAATATTGTTCAATAAACATATTATATATATATAATTATTTATATATATATATTTATTTCAACATTAAAATTTTTTTATAAATTTTTTTATATAAATTTTTATTTATATATCTATCATTTTTATCAACTATCGAAATTTTGAAGCTCCGATACAAAAACATTTCCATTCTTTTACGTTTTTTCTCCTAGACTTTAATACATAAAAATACATATTTATCATTCATTTTATTTAACTTTCCTTTTGTTTGTATTAAGAAATTTAAAACTTTTAAATCCTCAATAAACAATTTAGGATCAATAGAAGGTTAAACGATCAAAAATATTAAACGACAGAATAATTGCAGCAACATCTATTACGATTTAAAGCTGAAGTGATTTAATGAGCGGCGATAGTGAACATTCAATAAGTGATTAATATGCCTAGATATTTATTCGCTCATTCAACGATTCGGCTTCGAGGCATGACACGATACGCGGTAAATCGTTTTTGCGACTATTGGAATATATCAAGATTTAGAATAATGTGGCCGGTGACCGGCCAAGAGAGCCGATTCGAGAGATATCCTGTAACCGATCATCGGTGGGGGGAAGGTCGAAGAAGGCCGTGGTTAGATCTCTAGTCTGCGCACAGTTGAATGCATGGGCATATCGCGGCATATATGTAGTTCCGGCAATGTCGTTATTCCCCTTCTCCTTATACTACTCTATAAACTTGCACTTGGCAACACGTGTCTCTCTTTTCTTGATCGGACCATCGATAAATTCCTTGTTTCTCCAAAAAAGACGTACCGAAGTCGAGAGACGAAATCGAGTTTTGTCGTACAATTTCTTCGTGTATATATGTTTTTACAAACGCTGATTAGTTTCTTGACTGATATATCATAGAAAATCATTGCAAATCGTGAAAATTATGCAAACGTTAATACATATAGATGCACGCTTTGCAGAGTCCAAATTGTTCGTCTAAATCGCTCTTCTAAAAAGAAAAAAAAAAAAATTTATTTTACATGCATATATTCTTTCATTAATGACCTGTCTTTCTTTTATCTATACTATCTTCTCAGTTACCTTGTTCTAAAATGAAAGTTTATTCTTGCGAGAGAAGATTATGGTTTAAAGATTAAAGATTTACCAATATCTTAATCTTGACTCGTTATCTTTTTACACCTCTGCAGAGATAAACCAGCTAAAAAATAAAATAAATTAAATTAGATTAAATTAAAATTTACATCAATATTGACATAACTGTGTGAATATATATCTGTGAATTACATTAAATTTTAATTTAGAAAATAAATCGCTTACTCGTAATCGATTTCGTCATTTGATATCCCGTTTCTTTTCGCGAAAAATTTTATTGAGTTATGGGATATAACAACTGATTGTAAGATATAATGAAAAACTTCATTAATGAAAATTACATTCGTGTCACGTTGTGGACCATTCTTTACCTCACGGAGTTTCTCCCGGTCGTTCCAATGGCTCTCATGGCTCGCGACCGATTCTTTCCCCTTTTTCTCCTTCTTCGCCGTCTCTTCCTCTTCCTCCTCCACCATCAGTATAACCACCACCACTACTATCATCGTCATCGTTCCCATCGACACCATGATGCTCGGTCCAGAGGAACTGCAGAACTAGTCGCAGCTCGCAGCCTGTCGCAGCCTGCGTGTTGATCTCTCGGGAAGTGCTTCTGATTTAAAGTACAGTTTGTCAGATTCTTCGATGATCGGATGCCATGTATAATTCGGCAGCTTCGATTATCACGGATGCGAAAATTTGGCTCGAGTTATAAGACTGTGCTCGAAACGGCTCCTAAAAAAAATTACAAAACTTTTTTTTTAGGAAACAATCGCAAAAAAAAAAAGATATTTGAATTTGTAAACACGCGATAAGAAGAAGGAACATAGTAACAAATCTGCCTCTCCTGATCCACAAAATTCATATTTGTGAATCGAGACATCTCGGTTTTTATTTTTACGCGAGTGACATTAGTGCATTTAACTTTGAAGATGGTGCGCGGTCTTTCGCAGTGGACCAAAACTCTGAGTTTCCCAGCGAGGGTGTCACCCCAAAGACCCGTGAAAGAATCCAAGGTTTTTCACGTAAGTCCCAGTGCTAGCCCCACGTCACCGCCCAGCCCGATCAACGACACGATGGACAAAGCGCCTATAATTACTGACGAGGTTAGATATATTTGTTTTTCTCTTTTTGTCCCGTTTTTTTTTCCCATTTTCCTTGACTTTTAATTTAATTTTTTAATGCAAAGCTAGTATTTTTAACGTAATAATATATAATTCATATTTTCGTTTTCTTATATATAATTTGAAATAGCTGACTTTAATAACGCAACAATAATAATAATCACACGTAACATTCGTCCGTTATTCCGTTATATAAAATTCCGTTTTCCCGGTCGTCATTCTGATGTCAATAGCAAGTCACGAGCGAATTTTAGGAAACAATCGCAAAAAAAAAAGATATTTGAATTTGTAAACACGCGATAAGAAGAAGGAACATAGTAGCAAATCTGCCTCTCCTGATCCACAAAATTCATATTTGTGAATCGAGACATCTCGGTTTTTATTTTTACGCGAGTGACATTAGTGCATTTAACTTTGAAGATGGTGCGCGGTCTTTCGCAGTGGACCAAAACTCTGAGTTTCCCAGCGAGGGTGTCACCCCAAAGACCCGTGAAAGAATCCAAGGTTTTTCACGTAAGTCCCAGTGCTAGCCCCACGTCACCGCCCAGCCCGATCAACGACACGATGGACAAAGCGCCTATAATTACTGACGAGGTTAGATATATTTGTTTTTCTCTTTTTGTCCCGTTTTTTTTTCCCATTTTCCTTGACTTTTAATTTAATTTTTTAATGCAAAGCTAGTATTTTTAACGTAATAATATATAATTCATATTTTCGTTTTCTTATATATAATTTGAAATAGCTGACTTTAATAACGCAACAATAATAATAATCACACGTAACATTCGTCCGTTATTCCGTTATATAAAATTCCGTTTTCCCGGTCGTCATTCTGATGTCAATAGCAAGTCACGAGCGAAAGAAAAACGAAATATTTCAATACAGCATCGGAAACGGTGATTTCGATATCGACATGATTTTCGACGGCGATAAATTTATCGCGATCCCATTGAGAAGAACTCTTGACTCCGAGATGCGTGCGCAAGAATTCCACACGCAAACGGTTTGTCTTGACAGTCGACTCGCATTTCAATATGTCGCTAGATGCTGTGCGAACTCGACAAGACACTTGGCACTTGGCCCTTCCTCGCGTCCATATGATTCGTGGAATTTCGTGCGTGAGCATGTCCGGTGCCGTCTCACTGGAATAAAATGCTAGCTGTAAGGCTCGTCGGCGGCAACGGAAGCGTGGGAATCGAGCGTAACAGATGGCCTCGACCGCTTCCGAAGTCATTCGACTTCACCTCTCTTATTGCGCATTTCTTCCCCGATTCGCACGTGCTCGTATTATCATTTCGCCGATACGAATCGGCAATTGATGCGAAATATTTAATCATATAATACGAATATATTATATGATATAGTTTATTTAATGCAATTTTCGAATTTCGAATTGTGTGACACAAACAATAAAGAAGTAATTAAATTTTCGGAGTTAACTGATATTAGCAAATACAGCATTAATCCTTAACAAAATATAAAACAAAATATAGTCTTTTAAAGCTTGAATTTTGCATTTTAATTCTTGTTCGTATAAAAAAATGAATAAATAATTAATTTTAATGCAATAATTTTTTTCTCTGCTTTTATGTTCTCAGATATTTAGATGACATTTTTGATAATTTTGATTAATTTTGATTGATGTCAGCAGTATGATGTCATTACATCAAACCCAAAATCATAATTCTTAAAATATCTACTTTTCCTGGAAGAAAGCCACGTTAAAAATTTATAAATTTTTATTGAATTCTAATCAAAGCACTTTTTTCATTAATATATAAAAATGAATAATGTAAATAAGCAAATTTATAATAAGAAGTTATTAAGAAGTAGTTTAGCGAAGATAAAGAAGAGAGGAAAGATCTCATATTTATTTCATCCCAATGAGGATTCCCAAATTAATGCATCATACCTGCTGTATCGGCTCGGAATTATATATGTATACTTTATTCAACTGCACATGCGAATTTCGAGTCCAAGTAAAAGCAAGTCACGCGCGACCTTCCATGGTTCCTCTGTTGTTTGCGCTATCCGGGAATGCGAGAAAACGCAAAATGGTTACGAGTGTGCATGCAAGTAATTATTGTGTGTAATATTATAAAAACTCGGCTTCTTTGCCCGCCTCTCTCTCTCTCTCTCTCTCTTTCTCTTTCTCTCTCTTTTCCCACGACAGCATTCTCCGGTTGGGCTACGCGCCGGAAGCGGCGCGGCTCTATGTACGTGCGTTTTTTTTCATCGTGCATTGTTCCATCGTCGCGCATTCCATGACATAAACTTCTCCATGCTCGGTGCCGTTCGTGAACGAGAACGTTACGCTCTGCGGCAACCCGCTACGAAGGGAGATAATGCGGGAACTTGATTCGTTCGTTCCGCGTTCAATACTAAAGTACCCGCATTTTATCTCAGAATTTTTGTCGTTAAAACGACATGGACAATCGTTATCTTTCGTACGATATAAATGGACGTATCTTTTATTCTGTGTGTTCAATTTACACACGATACCTTTTTTAGAATAGTTTTACATGTACGGCTGAAAAAGATTTTTCGGAAAAATATGAATCATCTCGTAAACTTTATCATGAAACGAATTTATATAAATTATTAGAGCAGGAATCTATTCGAAAAACTTTGCTATCTAACTCGGACGGTGGATATACAAAGAACTTTTCCTTAGAGAGAAAGAGAGAACTAATATTTTTTTGAATGGGAATCACACACAAAATATTTTTATTATTTATTATATAAATTGTTCATTTCAATTATTCACATTTAAAAATTCTTGCATGTCATCACTATATTTTCCTACATAAAATTAAACATTAAAAGTTATTTAGATATATAATTTAAGAAAAAGAACAAATTCATAACCGGAATAAAAAAAAATTGATAACAGAATCAGGAAAAAAATAAAAAAATTATTCGTTTCTTAAATATTTTCTCTCACAAGAAAATGTGCTGTATCACAAAATTTTTTTTTTACGTGTCTCGTAATCTTTCTCAACGCACTTTGAATGGTTAAAACAATTCGTCTTTGTTGCCCCGCTATGATATTGTTCGATTAGATTCGACCGTTTTTGAGAATGAGGAGGCGGTGGGATCAACGCACACACGTCGCGTCGTATGTTAATTTTCAACTATTTGTCAAGGCCATACGTTAAAATTCGAAAAGAGAACGTCCGGATAGAGCGCGAATTCGCAATAGCAGAATTCGTTGGAATATCCTGTCTCCAAGTCTGGACGAGAAAAAAAAAAGATTATATCTATTATAATTCATAGCCATTTGCATCATTATCAAGTCGAGCCGTATTAAAGACATTTTGATAAATAATCGGAGAGTGTTTATAATCAAACTAATACACATAGATATAAATACTCGAGTTCGTAATTTCTTTAATGTAAAACTTAAAACTGAATAATATGAAATAATGTCAAATACTATGCAACCTGAAAAAGCAATATGAATTAATCATTAATATTATAACAACATTTATCTGTCACTATACCATAGAGTTTGATTATATCGTATTTGATTCGTCAGAGCTAAAAAGAAAGAAAAAATCATATCGACCGATGACAGCATTATTGAGCGTTGAAGATTGAACATTCAACATGCTGCAAGGTGCAAAGAATAAGTGGAACGTATGAAGATCGATTGTTATCGTCTGTTATTTTACCGTAATATGTCTGTTTGTCGTATTGCCTAGCTATTCTAATACTGGGAATCTAATATAACTTGAAATGTTTTCTTTTATTCAAAAAGAGAACTTACGTAATACAGAAATTCCTGAATTTATTTATTATTATTATTAATAATTTTATCACGATCTTTCGCGTTTGTGTATTATATATATATGTGTGTATATATGTTTCCATATCTTTATATATTTCGACTTTTTTCAAAAGCAATCTGGAGGAAGAAGACAGGTTCGTCTCTTTCATTTCTTTTCTGTTATTTATATCTCGCTGCTAACGACTAGCTGGTTGCGTTAAGTTCCTCGACCTTGCCGGTCGTGCAAGTTTCTGCTTGCGAGCATCTCCGAACGTGCTCGCACACGTATTTAGAAGCCGGATGCATTTGTGTACGACAGTATATAAATGTTAGTGTCATGATTTCCTTTCCTGACCAATTTCAAGGAAACAAGTTGGGCGAATAGATCGAATGCAGGAGAAATATGAAAATGCATAAATTCATAACGACATACATATTAATATATAAATTATTGTGTCATTAGAATAATTATCAAATAGTGCAGTCGGTTAAGTCAATAGATGATGTCCCGACAATAGATACAAAGTATTCTTAGATTGCGCACCACCCACGTAGTTCTCAGCATGTGGCTGCATCTCCCACAGTGCCATACCCTGCTTTGCTATTTTCAAGAATAGGCGAACAATATAATGGCGTGTTCGGGAATAATTATTGACAATTAGGTCAGACATAGGTTTGAACGAATTGAACGGTCGATTTAAACGATTTAAAGTAAAAAAATATTTGAGTTTCAAATTCAAACAATTCATGTAATTTGAACGATATCATTTTTAAATCATTAAATATGAACAATATATATTATTGATGATAATTTGTAATAATGCATGATTTACAGCAATTTGTACGAATACGCAAGACAATAAAGTTATGCACTTCTCAATTTTACAAATTTTGATCAATTGATAATCCGGTGTTTATAATTCGAGTTATGGCATACTCGCCGACAGTTTCAAGATCTTTACAAAGGATAAAGAAACAAAAGCAAATAATATATTTCATTTGGTCTTTTTCAGACCTTCCAAGACACGGAGGCCGAAAAGGCAATAATGGGTTCAGTCGTATACTGCATACATCACAAGGATGGCTGCAAATGGTCCGATGAATTAAGGAAGCTAAAGGTAAGATTATTCAAAACAGAATTTAATATTAGAAAAAAATTTTGACAGATAGACAAATTTAAATCTCGCTTTTATCAGGCGCACTTGAATACATGTAAACATGATGCGGTTCCATGTGGCAATAAATGTGGGGCGATGATTCCTCGTGTACTTATGGAAGACCATTTGAAATATACCTGCGCCCAGCGTAGGGCTCGTTGCGACTTTTGTGCCAAAGAGTTTACTGGACATACTTTAGAGGTACAATAATTTTATCGAGCAATATTAATTTCCTACTAATTTATTTAATTATCTTCTTTATGTGAAATATGGATATTCCATTCAGCAGTTTCTTAAAAACTGTGTTACTCTTATCTTAAAAAATCATTAGTTTCAAACAGTAAAAAAAAAAAACAAAATATTTTCAGAAACACACGGGAACATGCGGCTATGAACCTCTATATTGTGAAAACAAATGCGGAATGAAGGTGCAAAGGCGACACCTCGGACAGCACAAGTTAGGAGAATGTGCCAAAAGATTGGTCGCTTGTCGTTACTGTAACAAAGAATTCGTTTTCGATACGCTTGGCGCTCATCACACGAAATGCGGTCGATTCCCTGTTGCATGCCCTCATCGTTGCGAAACCGCGGTGCTTCCTCGAGAGGATCTCGAGGTTCACTTAAAGGATCATTGCACCACGCATCTACTTTCCTGTACATTCAAGGACGCCGGTTGTCGCTTCAAGGTACCATTTTTTCTCATATTACAGCTTATATCCGCTCTATAAAAGATAAGTAAATCAAAATGAATTTAAACAGGTTTATTTCTGCAAAATAGAATGTTAAGTATTTAGAATAAGATTAATTTACAAAAATTTCAATTATCTTTTATCTTTTTACATATTTATATGCATCAGAGTGGGACTAAAATTTAATAAATTTATTGATTTTAATGATTATGATTAAAAAATTAATTAATAATTATATAATTAAAATTTTTAATCCCCATGAAATTAATCTGAGGCATTAACCGATTGTTTTTAATTACAAAAAGAATCGAGTAAAAGAAGTGTTGTATATAATTGTGATTTATTCAATCAATTAATAAATGTTAATCAACTACTATCAGTTAAAAAATAATTATCGATTATTAATCGTTAGTTTGTAGTCAAAATATGATTAAATTTATATATTGATATTAAAAATTTTGTTTTTTATAGGGAAATAGATTTTCGCTTGATAAACATCTAGAAGAATCCGCAAAAATGCATCTAAGTCTCATGTGTAGTCTCGTAACGAAGCAGCAACATCAAATAACCAGTCTAAAGTCAGCGATCAGTAAACTATCATTGAATTATACGGGCACACTTATATGGAAGATTACGGACTATGCCACAAAGATGTCAGAAGCGAAAGCGAAGGAAGGAATGGAGCTTGTTAGTCCACCTTTTTATACTAGTCAATATGGATATAAATTACAAGTATGTGGAATATTATATAAACAATCATTATATACCTATTCATTATTTTCCACGATTTAAAATCTTTAAAATAACATAGAGATTTTTAATTTGTTCATTTTATGAACTTTTTTTAGTCTTAATAAATGTCTTTCGCGCGTTTGTGTATTGTTTATAGCTAAGACTAGGAAATTACAAAATATATCGAGTGTCAGTTTACTAAAAGAACTTTTCGATCGTACAGGCCTCGATTTTTTTAAACGGAAACGGGACCGGAGAAGGCAGCCACATCTCGATATATATAAAAATCCTGCCCGGTGAGTACGACGCGCTTCTACGATGGCCGTTCTCGCACAGCGTATCATTCACGATGTTCGATCAGACAGTCATTGCGGAGAAGGCCTGCAACATTGTGGAAAGTTTCATACCTGACCCGACGTGGAAGAACTTTCAACGGCCAAGTCGCGAGCCAGATTCTCTCGGTTTTGGCTTCCCAAGGTTCGTGTCCCATGAGATGGTGAAGAAGCGACACTTCGTCAAAGATGACACCATGTTTATTCGAGTTAAAGTGGATCCTAGTAAAATCGTAGCGGTTTAAAAAATGCGTAAACACGATGATTCTACTAAACCATTACGTTTATGATTACGAACTTCAATGTGATATTTCCGAGTACTCGCTTGAGCAAGGCATACAGTACTTATATTGCTTTAAATTATGTGGCAATAATGCAAATTAAACCCTCGAATGAAAACGCAAATATAGGCGGGAATTGTGCCGCCTATCTACGTCATGACAATTTTGTTTCGTTTGTTTAGACATATTACTACAAATATTGCTGATATAAATATAGAATTAATAACTTATTGACACTGCCAAACACGATGCATCAAAATGTATTTACTTTCTCGATTTCTTAATTTTTTCTTTCATTTTTTAAATTTATTACTGTATAATCACTTTCTGTGTTGTATAATTTAAGTATACTAAATGTTAACTCTCGGACAGAATGGATGCGAGCGTGAAAGCCGCGTGCACGATGGAGGCTGGGTTTATTTTGACTCATAACAAAATTTGTTTTGTACGTGCATATCCCAGATTAAAATTTTATATATATATATACACTACACTTGTATATGACAAAACAAAAAATATATTTTTAAAATAAAAATTGATATTTTTGGATAATGCACACAAAATATTTGTTTCCAGCTAAATGTATATTTAATTCTTTTTTTTTCACGAATTTTTTAAAACATTTTGAAAATATGGATTACATAAGTAACCTGGCATCCGCAGACGAAAGGTTAATATATGTTATTAGCTTTATCATTATTCTATGATAGCTTGCGATTATATTTGCTATCTTCCTAATGATCTGTCGTATTTATATTTATAAGATTATATCTTTTTTCACATTTTTAAAATATTTAATGAGTGAGCGAAAATCTTCGATTTTTCGAGTGGCCTTATAATCGCGACTGAGTTATTCTTAGGGAACAAAAATCAAAGATTATTAAGAAACTTTGTATGTACTATAAGTTTAAAAAATGTAAATATAAGTGTGGAATGCCATACAATAATGGACAATGAATTAAAGTAATTGAGATAGATTGACCAATGTAAATATGCACTTCTTATATATAGTGATAATGAGAAATGTGATCGAGATATGCTATAGTAAACATATGTAATGACTTAAAAGTAAATCGGTTAATAAACTTGTTATATAATATTCATCTGCAAAATATTTTCTTATTTTTATATGTAAATTCAATATATGTATATATAAAGGATTCAAGGGAAGAACATATGGTTGATTTCAAATATCGAACAGTATATATCCAAAGAGAACTTTTTCATGACATGATAAAATATATGAAATAAATAAGATTTTTTAATTGTAAATCAATAAAGTGTAAAAATTCTAAAAATATTCACATTTCTACTGACAATATAATAATGGTATTATTAAATAATTTCATATTTACTTTTTCCTGTTACATACTTCCACTGTATTGGGAATTAGTTTCTCCTGTATTTGCCTGCAAAAAATAAAAATAAAATTATTATTTGAAATGACAATATTATGATATAATTATTATGTCAATAATGTCATATATAACACTAATAAAGCTAATAAATAAAAAATCTACTTACAGATTGTATCCGTAACATTTGATCTAATGAATGTGGCAGCAATGGACGTATACTATTAATTTCCATCGCAGTAAGATGATCCAGTCTTGCATGCACTCCTTCACTCTTCACAAAAGCATCAACAGATGTCCGCAATTTAGACATTCTTATATCCCATATGTCCTACAGCAATGCAAATTATGATTTTTTATCTAAATTTTCATTCTCTGTGCAGATGCTTATTGTATTTAGTCAGCTTTATCTACCTTTACAGATGTCCTTATACAATCTGCATCAGGTATATCATCGTTTGCCACGTTTAGTAAGATTTGACTCTCATCTATATAATGATTACTCGGCATCTCCGTAAACAACCTAATGGATAAAATTTTTCATAAATAAATGAGTCAACGTCAAAAGCATAAGATTATTGATCAACAGAAAAATTTGATATCAGTAAGCAACGAATTTTGGGAAATTGTTCACATACTTGGACATCTTTTCCATCTCCTTCCTCTCACTTAGACTTTCGATATCCATCCATTCTTGGCCAATTATACGACACTTCTGTTTCTGTTTGAGACATACAGCAAGCCAAATTGGCACTTTGACAGGTAGACCGGCGCGAAACGGTCCAACTGAGCCCGAGATCAGATAAATCATGTCCAAATTGAAATTCGGCACTATGTTGACCAATTGCTTCTCGCCAAGGAACTCTGCGTTACTCGGATCCATGTTTCGTTAAAACTTTAATTCACTTTAATCATCTTTTTGCTGTCTATATGTTTAGAACCATTTCGTTTGACGTTCTCCAATATGTTCCGGTCGATTCTAACCTGTTGAATCGTTCTGGACTCTTTCTTCTTTCTTTATGAATTTCCCTCCATAAAGATGGTTTTACATGGCAGCATCGGGCGTCTGCGGTCTGCACAGAAAATTACCCAGAATTTTATTTATTTTATTTATTTCCTTATTTATTATATATTTTCCTTATTAATTTTATTTATTTCTTTATTTCTTTATTTTTTTTATTTATTTCCTTTTTTTCTTTTTATTTATTTCTAGGGAGGTGAACGTAGGAGTGGGGATACCCATATATTACGTTCATCGAATGTAAATGAGATATTAGGAAAATATATTTTACAAAGAGGTAGGTAATATGCAGTTCACAATCAGTAATACGTGTCTTTCAATACGCTCGAAAATTCGTCTGAGTTAATAGGAGAATATATTTTGCGAAGAAGTCGTGTAGTATAATGCAGTTCACGAGCGGTAATGTGTCTTAAAACGCTCGAAAATTCGTTTCCGAATTACTAGGAGAATATATTTCGCGAAGAGGTATGCGAAGAAGTTCGCGCAAGAGGTGGTGGGGATTGGATTCGTGGGAGGGCGTGACCGATGGCTAATATATACGTAAAGTATTTCGCACTGATTGGTTGAATCGCGCGGCCGTTAAAAATGGAGTGCATTTATGGCCCACCCATCCAACCAATCAGCACGAAGTATATATTAGCCATCGGTCACGCTCTCTTACGGATCCAGTTCTCTCTACCTCTTGCGCCGAGTAGCGCATACCTCTTCGCGAAATATATTCTCCTAGTAATTCAGAAATGAATTTTCGAGCGCTTTAGACACATTACCCCGCTTGTGAACGCCATTACCGCGCGAAATACATTCTCCTACAAACTCAACGCGAATTTTCGAGGATATTTAAAGACACAAAATTAATACTCGTGATCTGCATTACTTCTAGCATATCTCTTTACGAAATATATTCTCCTAATATCTCATTAATATTCATACGGTGAGCGTAACAAATAAATATCCCACTTCTACGTTCCGTTGTCGAGAGCAATGTGTAATACATATATTATTATTATTATATTTCGCATTTTCATCGCGAAAAATAGTCGTATGAATTAATAAGTTATAAGAATTCGGGATGTAACAATAAATATCGAACAACATATATGTAGATTATACATGTGAAGATTTTATGACATCGATTTTATTTGCGATCTTGCAATACACAATGTGCCTATATGTATTAGGATCTCACATACGTTTTATCACACATACATTATTGATATAGTATAGATGATGATGCATTTCAAAATTTAATGGAACGTACGACTTACCATAGAAATGTTCTCATAGAGATCTTACTGAGCATACAGATCAATAGATGGACCTATTAATTACTTAATTAAATTGCAATTTTTATTAACGACAAAAGACTGCTAAAAAAAATGTATATTTAAAGCTCTTGAGAACACAAACGTATTTAATGGACAGAACAAAACTCATTAAGAACTAAAACAATTTTTTCTATACCAAAAAATTTAATTAAATCGCTTATCTTTATAAAATTTTAATTATGCCTCTCTCGAATAAAATTTGGTGTCAAGTTTTGTTATCTATTCGGATTTCAAAATATATTTTGCCAATTTATTATTTTTTAATAACCAAAACAACTAAGAATAATTTTTTATATCTCGATATTTTTATTATCACATACACACAAGTTTTAAAAAATTGTTAATATCACCACGTTCACCAAATGTGCCTATAAACTAAATATTTTTATAGAAGATGTGAAAGTGCAAGAGAAAAAAAAAGAGAAATTGCATGATAATCTAGTTATGCAAACAATATAATACGCAAATATTGTACAAACATCGTGTAAAGTTTTCTACTTCGAGAATATGTAGACATGAATAAATATCATAATCACACGCATATTGTTCTATTTTGTACAATATTAAGTATATTGTTCTTCTCAGTATATCTATTAATTCTGCAATGCTTTGTGAATTCCGCGCACGATACATTATCATCCTTGCTCTAAGATAATCAAACATTCTAGAACACATCCTAAGATGATATTTTCATAAATTTTTAAATATCTATTCTAGTTTATTTTAATTTTTTATTTACAATACATGATTTAAAAAATTATAGATGTATCACATTTATCACTTTGTTTAGGTGTAGACCGAGTATCACTGTTATTTTATTTAAACATAATTTATTTTAATGTAAACTTACATATATAACATATGGCACTTTTAGTGAAACAATGATTAAAATAGAAAATGATAATAATAAAATAATTTGATAAAAAGATTAATGGTGACAAAAATAAAAAACGGAAAGGTCCTATCCTTTGTCATCTCTCTCTCTTTTTAAAGCTTTCAAGTATCTCACAGTTTACTTTATATCTTTCGATTACCTCGTCTGTTATATCAATTCTATCTCGAGATTTCTCTAGAACCAGAAGATAATCGGGGAGCGGCGTGACTTAACACATCGACCTCGATCATAAAAATCGATGCGGGCGGCGTTTCCTCGATTCGGTCTTCCTGTGCGGGCAAGAGGGGCAATAGCGATTTATACGTTTGCAGTTCCATCGAGGGTGAGATCCCGCGGACGCTCGCGTCACCCTCGCTGGCCACCTCTTCCTCGCTCAATCGCTCATTCGACGGTGGAGAATTATTAATTGCGACCGTAATTTCGTTCATGATGTTGCTATCAACAACATTTTGACGTGTCTCTTTTTCTTGCATAGATAACACGCGCCTTTCGGAACGTGTGCTGCCTGTCCTCTTATTGTCAAGTACCTGCAAATGTCCAATAGAGATAGACTGTAGATTGAAACATAAGTTGAATTGAATGAGGTAAATGTTACGTGGAATGTAATTATGTAATTTAATTATCCTGATTATATTACTTGTTAATGTAGAGAGTTTTGAATCTATTTTGCTATTAATCTCAATCTTATATGAATATTTTATTTATGTAAGTACATTAATATTCGAAGTCACATGTATAAAATATATTTTAATAAATTAAAATAAGAGATTTTTTCTCTTTTAAAATTTATTGCAACTATAAAACATAAGGGTTATAATTTTTAAGACAATATAAATTGTATAAATTATATACATATTATACATTACATACATATATAGTACATTAAATTTGATGGAAAAACGTAATAGTTTTATACTAATAATAAGTTGTATGTTTTATGTTAAGTTGCGGTTGTTTATTCTTTAGAGAGCTATATTATAAGTTATGACAATGTTTTAACCGCGAAATACTAGCGCATCTATTGTGGCATGCATGTTATTTCAAACATATAGAACATTTATTTATACAAAAAATAATTTAACTTTTAATCAAAGTAAATAATTTCACATACATACTCACATGCAGTGCTACAGAAATACTCTCCAATGCTGCTTTATTATCTAATATTTATCTAAAATCTAAAATATCCTTAAGTTTAAAATAAAAAAAATTAATTTTCTCTCTTTCATTTTCTTTGTTTAAAAAAATAAGATATGCTAAAGTGAGAATTTTTCTTCCTATTTCACACTTTACATACAACTAAATATACGGTCGAATAGACAGATTTACGCACCTGACGTAACATACTCGATCTTTGACTCCTTGACTGAGGAAAATCGCTAAGCCGCTGAGCCTGAAGCTGCCTCTGCGAACCGACGAGGGATCCGCGATCGTTGATTACGCTGATTACGCTCGATTTGACGTCGCTGTGCGGGAAAAGCAGTCGCCAGACGAAATTCTTGAGGGCGATGCGAAAATCCTTGAGATGATAGGCGTAGAGAAGCGGATTGCCGACCGAATTGATGTGCGAGAGGATGATGCAGAAATTCATTAGGAGATCGTTCACCTCGCATTTGGGGCAGAAAGCCTTTACGCAGTTTATCGTGTACAGAGGAAACCAGCAGACGATGAAGAAGAGGACGATACGCGAGAGATTCTGCGTAGCCTTGACCTCCCGTTTGCGCGCCGCGCCGAGCACACGCAGCATCGTCCCCGTAGTTTGATGGCTCCCGCCGAGACGTAGACCTCCGAGACGGCGAAAGGCACCACCTCCGCTGGAGTCCACCGTGATGATTTGCTGTAGCTACAACCGTCGTACCCGTTACACTTCTTAGCTATTTCCCCGTATCGCTGTTTGCCGTGTCGGCATTCAGTCTCTTTTGTGTGACTGACCTGCTTTACGATCACCCGATATATATGGGCGTAGAACGCAGCAATTAGCAAGGCGGGAAAGATTATTGTGGCAAAGTATAGGAACACGAGGTAGTCGTAATCCATAACTTTCGTGAAAATACATCTGTGATCGCTCGTTTCGCCGGCATTCCATCCGAACAAAGGCAGGAACCCTACTAAAGTGCCCGCTATCCAACATACGCATATTATACCTGAAAGCAAGCATTTTTTTCTGTTAATCATTTGCTAATCGGTTTATTTTTTTCTCGTTTATTTGTCATCAATGAACTGAGACATGTCTCGTCATCGTCATCGTCGCGTGCGTGCGTACGTGCGTGCGCGCGTGCGCGTATGCCGCGCTCACGTTTGACAAACGAATTCGTCGGAACGTGACGTCACGCAATTTAGAACGGATATGGCACGAATTACAAATTACGCACAATGTCGTGTAATTATTGGCTTGCCGTATTTGTATCCTTACATCCGAACATGTAATTTAGAAAGTGAGATTAGAGTACTATACTATATAGCTATCAAGCCTTCTTGTCTCTTTCATTAACATCACTGTATTAGTTAATAACGTATCTAAAGATCTAATTTAAAGCTTCCTTTGTAACTCATCCTTAACTAAACAAGTCTGTAATTGAACGGTTAAGCTATTACATAGATGTCTAAACCATAATTCTTATTATTAGAATTGGTCCAAAATCATATTTGTCACATCGCGCTTTCATTGTAAATGTATGTGTTCAATGAAACATTAAAAATTGTATTTGAATATATATATATATATAGTAGTTAGGATTGATTTTATTGACGTCACTTAAAATAAACTTAGAGATCAAAAATAATTTTTCTCTGTTCGTGTATTATATTAGATACAACTATAATCTATAAATAAATATAATATTTTTTTGTCAGCAATGACTTATTTCATTCAAAATATCGGCAATCTTGATTACTTGAAAATAAATTTTTTTTTTATAATAAAAAACGAAAAGAAATCAATTCACGTAATTACGTAATCGTTATGCCGTGGTCGTGTTTCTATCGTTCCTCGTGGGAGTGGAAGAACGATGCCTCGGATCGTCTGCCATTACTCTCATGACACGAGCGTCCGATATCAGATATCAAATTAATAACGTTAGAGCTGTGAACGGAAGGGTGGTCCCTCACCTATGGCAGTTTTGGTGCGTACAGTGCGCGAATATCCCATTGGATGCAGTATCGCCCAGTAACGATCAATGGACACTGCCACCAAGCAAAAAATGCTGATGGTGCAGAGAACGATGAGGACCGATACGGTGAACAGGCAGGCATGTAAATTCGTCGGTAGACCGATGCTCGCGAGGATCGCGAACGGGATTGCAAACAGACCGACGAGAAGATCGGCCGCTGCTAGCGAGATGATATAATAATTGGTACGTCTGCGTAGCTTTCGTTCTTTGCCGAATACGATGATCACCAGGCCGTTGCCGAGGACGGCACAGATCGCCACTAGAATCTCGCAGACGGTGTACGGCAGGTTCAGTTTTGCGTCCACCGACGACGCATTCCTTGGGTTCAAATGATCCAAATAATCGAATATTGAGTCAGTTGTATTTGACGCGAATCCCATCGCAATTATCACTGTTGGACAAAATGATGGTTTTATTGGCGTCGTCGAGGATACAGGTGGACGATTCTCGTTGTTACCTTTCGATCTTGAAGCATGATACTGTAGTATCACGCGGTATATAAAGTCAACCGGTGCAATTGTGATGTTGACTCATAAATGCGACATCGCGATATTTTTGAGAAAGACAAGCAATAGTCATTGCTTCTTCAAGAGAATTTTTAATATCCCTTAGATATTTAATAATAATTATTTTCTTTCTTTTCTTAACTCTCGGACGGTTGTATTCTGAAGCTAGCTCGCTGTATCTATGTCGAAAGAATAACTGTATGTGTATGTATTTATAATTTTCTTTACATATATACGTAAATTTCTATTCGTTATTTACAAACACATACACACACTATTTTTATGTTTAGATTTGTAAATTCTATTTTTTGTTGAATATAAAATTAGTTCACTCGATGGAAATCGTTCAGAATCATAGATTTCATCATCAACGCCAGAAAAAAAAAAGATGGTGTTAATTTATCACTCACGCGCTTGTTCCAGAATTAACGATTCTTCAGCGATTACTCATCGAAAAAATATTTTAGTTATCTCTATAAATATCGATCTTTGAAAAAATAGAAATGTTGCGCTATCAATCCCATGCATGAAATTTACACGTGACTTCTGCACATCACTATATATGTATATATGTGGTTCACCTTTCCTTGTTTTATGAACGGTTCGTCAATTTTCGCAGCTCTCTTTCCAATATTTTTGATAATTAATATTCTTAAATTCTTTTTCGGCCTTATAATTTCTTGTGATCTACACGCGCATCAGAAAAGATGGATGAGCGATCGATCGGTCGCTTATTCGTCTCGCGTGATATGCTAACGGACGTCGTGCTTCCCGTCCATTTACTTAGGAAGAACAGCGAAATCGAGTTACGTGAGCGCGTAAGATGGATTTCCGCGCGATAACATCTAATGGAGCTGTATTTTGTGTCACGCGAATTTGTAGATACACCATCATGTCGCTACGAAGCAAAGCGAGGAAGTCGTCTTCATATTCATGCTTTACATCACATTTCTTCTCACGATCAATCACGTGTTATTTTTATTATTCATTATTTCCCGCGGTAGCTCGATTTTCAGAGCGATAAGAACTGTATTACACCAAGCAGACGAAGAGACACGAATTAAAATGTATTATCACCAATCATATCTCGAAATCATGCGTGCCAAAATTCTATTATCGATTGCGAATTCGATCTTTGTTACAATATTAATTTGCGTTCTTCTCGCGTCATTCGTATACATTATTAAAAGAGCGGGAAAAGTTGCTGCGTAAAATCTGCCAGTTCTCGATAAGAGAGTCGATCGATTGGCTAAATATTTATGTAAATTCTATCATATTATGGTCAATATATATATATTTTTTTATACGTGGTATTAATTAATTCGATACACACAATGTTCTTTCTCCGTAATACGCGAACCGTAAAGCTGAAGCGAACGCGTCCGCCTTCGCAACCCTGTGGCGTGTGACTGAGGTGTTTCTTGTGATAGAAAACACGAGGAAGTGGAGGTGGAATCTCTAGCCCGTGTTCTCTTGCTCGTGTTTTTCTCTCCGTCTTCGTTATCAAAACGTCAAGGGAAGACTTATTCGACGCGTTCCATATGTTACATTCAACCACGTGGTCGTGTAATATCGATATACTGCGGACAGATGTGATAAGTTTATCAAATTTAACATGGGTTCTGCCATAACTTAAATATCAGTTTCTCGCTTGTAGCAGATATGTTCGTGTCAAATGCATTTTCCAATGTTTTCTTCTATACTTTACTTCTTATTCTTCTAGAAGCTATATTCTTTACTGCTATCCTTGTCTCCGAAATTGCAAAATAACAAATCTATTCTATGTCACATATAACTTGATTATAATCAAAATAAAAACTATACTTGATAGAAATGTGCGTGTGAAACTATTGGTATAAAATTGCATTTGATCTTGCTTCTCATGTCTCACTTAATACTTTATGTAAATTACATTCGCGTGCGCGATATCAAAATAAGATGAGATTAAAACAACTGCATGCTAAATGAATGGCTGCAATATCACAGGCAGGAGTAGGGCGCAATCGAACATTTCTTTGTTTATTAGGTAGTAAGATTAATTATATCTTCAGTGTTATATAGAGAAAAACGTGAACTATGTTGATAGTTCTTTGTAACAATCAGCACAATATGGTCTGCACGAAAAAAAATATTCTATATCTGACGTAAGTCATTACTCTTGCTTATGACTATGCAATTGTATTTGCATAAAAGCCTGAGCGACAGATAACAACAAGGAAAATCAACAGGGTTGTTTATAATAGAACAAAATACTTACAATTAGATAAAAAAATTGATTTTTTGTCCGAGTCTTTTCATCCTGCCTCATAACAAACATATTTCATATAAGAAATTTAACTATAGCTATATATCTTATAAGATATAATACTTTTTTAATACCGTGTGTATTAATTTTAATTTTGTAGATCGATTTGGAATCGAGAATGGGGATATGGTATTTAAACATATCACGCGTAAATAAATGCACTCAAACATTGTTGTGCACTCAAACACTCTTACATATATAAGTAAAGTCCGTAAATATGTTTAAACGAGCAGAAGTTTAACGAAGCAGGAACAAAAAGCGCGTGGAAAGTAACGCGAGCTTTACTTACTGCGGAAGTGATAAAGATGTTTTACTAGGAAAGACGCGTACAAAAGAGAGAGAGAAAAAGTCAGAAAGTAATATAAAGACGCACGGATCACCCGCGCGGTTGCGATATCTAAAAAGATCTAATTAAAAACCATCCTCTACAGATGCACAAAGTTTACGCGGTGTCATGTTTCCTAGCCGCATGCTTTATTTTTATTACAGGCCGCGCGTGACGTGAAATTGTACAAATTAACACATAACACGCTATTTTCTTATATTTTTTGTGTTAAAGAGATAGTTATACTTTTTACGTCCCCTTTGTGTAGACAGGATATAAATATACCCACAGGAAAAAAGATCCATATATAATCAAATATAAATATAAATATATATATAAACTTTAAATTCCATTTAAAAAAACGATACAAAAAAGTCATTACTCTTGCTTATGACTATGCAATTGTATTTGCATAAAAGCCTGAGCGACAGATAACAACAAGGAAAATCAACAGGGTTGTTTATAATAGAACAAAATACTTACAATTAGATAAAAAAATTGATTTTTTGTCCGAGTCTTTTCATCCTGCCTCATAACAAACATATTTCATATAAGAAATTTAACTATAGCTATATATCTTATAAGATATAATACTTTTTTAATACCGTGTGTAAAATTATTTCCGAATATCAAAAACGTATAGAGATTATATTAATTTCTTTTTGCAGATATCGCGAGCGATATTTCTCGACAATCGATGATAAAGAGAGAAGCGCGACGAGAGCTTAATATAAAATATGTAGAATATAGTAATCTTTCGAGCATCGTCGAATATAAAAGTAATTTATCATTCGATTTCATAGGATCCTTGTGAACTAAAATTATTTCTGTGTAAAACAGTTAAAGACGACGGTCATCGACCGTAATTAGTATTAGCAAATCATGTGTGCGTAATGATGGTTCGGGAGCGCGAGATATCATTTGATGGGACGCGAACCGAACATTTGATATCGCCCGACATTATTAGACATCGATATGACAGAGGAGAGGAGAAATATAAGGGTAGAATTAAATGTCAAGGTTAACCGGATAAATTAGTCTACACATTTGTCACTCTCTCTTTCGTGAACGAAACGTTTCTCGTATATGCATACCAATACGAGCGCACGAATACACGTACATATAGATATGTGAAGTACAATATTTGAAGTACAATATCATGTCTTCTCTCTCTCTAGTACAATATTTGAAGTACAATATTTGAAGTACAATATTTGAAGTACAATATTTGAAGTACAATATTTGAAGTACAATATTTGAAGTACAATATTTGAAGTACAATATTTGAAGTACAATATTTGAAGTACAATATTTGAAGTACAATATTTGAAGTACAATATCATGTCTTCTCTCTCTCTTTC